TGTGTGCCGCGAATCTTTGCTGCGTGCAAAAAGACAGAATATTCCGCGCTGTGTGCCACGAATATTTTGATGGTTATTCGCGCTGTGTGCCGCGAATCTTTGCAAAAGACAGAATATTCCGCGCTGTGTGCCACGAATATTTTGATGGTTATTCGCGCTGTGTGCCGCGAATCTTTGCTGCGTGCAAAAAGACAGAATATTCCGCGCTGTGTGCCACGAATATTTTGAAGGTTATTCGCGCTGTGTGCCGCGAATCTTTGCTGCGTGCTAAAAGACAGAATATTCCGCGCTGTGTGCCACGAATATTTTGATGGTTATTCGCGCTGTGTGCCGCGAATCTTTGCTGCGTGCTAAAAGACAGAATATTCCGCGCTGTGTGCCACGAATATTTTGACGGTTATTCGCGCTGTGTGCCGCGAATCTTTGCTGCGTGCAAAAAGACAGAATATTCCGCGCTGTGTGCCACGAATATTTTGACGGTTATTCGCGCTGTGTGCCGCGAATCTTTGCTGCGTGCTAAAAGACAGAATATTCCGCGCTGTGTGCCACGAATATTTTGACGGTTATTCGCGCTGTGTGCCGCGAATCTTTGCTGCGTGCTAATTGTTCCGCCGCGTACGAGAGAAAGCGAGTCCACGTATCGCGCGCGGTGAATCGACGCGTAACGCGATATTCCTGTGAGATAGAATATTCCGCGCTGTGTGTCGCGAATATTTTGACGGTAATTCGCGCTGTGTGCCGCGAATCTTTGCTGCGTGCTAATTGTTCCGCCGCGTACGAGAGAAAGCGAGTCCACGTATCGCGCGCGGTGAATCGACGCGTAACGCGATATTCCTGTGAGATAGAATATTCCGCGCTGTGTGTCGCGAATATTTTGACGGTAATTCGCGCTGTGTGCCGCGAATCTTTGCTGCGTGCTAATTGTTCCGCCGCGTACGAGAGAAAGCGAGTCCACGTATCGCGCGCGGTGAATCGACGCGTAACGCGATATCCCTGTGAGATAGAATATTCCGCGCTGTGTGTCGCGAATATTTTGACGGTAATTCGCGCTGTGTGCTGCGAATCTTTGCTGCGTGCTAATTGTTCCGCCGCGTACGAGAGAAAGCGAGTCCACGTATCGCGCGCGGTGAATCGACGCGTAACGCGATATCCCTGTGAGATAGAATATTCCGCGCTGTGTGTCGCGAATATTTTGACGGTAATTCGCGCTGTGTGCTGCGAATCTTTGCTGCGTGCTAATTGTTCCGCCGCGTACGAGAGAAAGCGAGTCCACGTATCGCGCGCGGTGAATCGACGCGTAACGCGATATCCCTGTGAGATAGAATATTCCGCGCTGTGTGTCGCGAATATTTTGACGGTAATTCGCGCTGTGTACCGCGAATCTTTGCTGTGTGCTAATTGTGCCGACGTGTGTCGCGAACATTTTGACTGAGGTTAAACATTTATTAACACGTCGCTGTGTGCTAGGACGTATAGAAAAGGGAAGTGCAGTGTGTCACTAACAATGGCGAGACCGCCGAGTGCGTATACGCTTGCCGAGATTAAGGACATTCTCCGCGAGAAGAAGTTGCCGGCGACCGGTAACAAAGCTGACCTGATAGATCGATTGACTGCCAATGACCCGGAGATATGGACCACACTGGATGAACAGAGGTCACGGCAGAGCCGCGGTGTCGATCAGCCGATTGACGCGGGCCATGAATCGAGGGATGCCGTCGCGGGCAAGGACAATGAAAGCCAAGTAAGTAACGACGCATCCGTTGAAGGTCCTTTGACTGAGAATGACTTGATTCGACGAGAAAATGAACTACTTAGAAGAGAACGAGCTCTTCTTCAACGTGAATTAGATATCGTTAGACGAGAGAACATCGAAGATCATGGAGCACCGCAGATGAATGATGGCGGAAGAAGACGTAATGGTCCACCGATGAGCGAAAGTGTAAGGGCTATTCGCGACTTGTTGAGCGAATTCGACGGCAGTGAGGGTACGTTCTGGAAATGGGAACAGCAGGTACAATTGCTGCGAGTGTCGTACGCCTTGGATGATGCTGCGACAAGAATTTTAATAAGCTCTAAATTAAAAGGACGTGCATCCGAGTGGTTTCACTCCAAACCACATCATCTTACCCTTGGTATAGAAAATCTATTGGCGGCCATGAAGGGAATGTTCGACCTTCGTCAATCAAGATTGTCCCTACGCAAGAAGTTCGAAGAGAGAGCATGGCGGACGGACGAATCATTCACGAGTTACTTCCATGATAAAATAATCCTCGCTAATAGGGTACCGATAGTAGATGACGAAGTAGTCGATTATGTCATCGAGGGTATACCTGATCGCAATCTCAGAGATCAAGCACGTATTATGCAGTTCGAGTCTCAGTCGGATTTGTTGGAGGCATTTAAAGGATTGACGCTACACCCGAAGAAGTTCCCTGATCGCGAATGGAAGAAACCTATTGATCAAGGAAAAATCCAAAAGGATGGGAAATTGTCGACGAAGGAGAGTTCAGCGTTTAAAGGAAATCCAGCATCGTCGAGTGCAGATTTGGCACCACGCCGAAAGATAATTAAATGTTATAACTGCCAGGGAGTTGGACATCTGGCATCCGCATGTTCACACCCGAAGAAAGTTAAGGGAGGCTGTCATCGATGTGGTTCAGCCAGCCACTTGAAAAAAGACTGTCCCGAGAAAGAGTCGAAACCCGAGTCGACGAACGTTGTGAACTTGATCGAACCGATACCCGTTAGCGATCCGTATTGTGTACAGTTAAAGTTTTCGGTGTCCTTTGAAGGGGATATGGATCGTGAATATACAGTAGACGCGATAGTTGATCCCGGCTCCCCAGTGAGCCTCATAAAAACTGAGTATGTTCCGACGAGTTTGCGCGAACCGCTACCTCCTAACGGCGATTGTTTCTGTGGAGTAAATAAATCCCCTGTTCGCGTAATAGGCACCTTTTCGAAATTAGTCGAAATCGAAAGAATTAATATTCAGCTACGTTTTCTGGTAGTACCGAACGAAACAATGTCGTGTGCGGCATTACTTGGTCGCGATTTTTGTCGAGATCCGTTAATAAAAATCGAACTAGGTAAAACGGTAAAGATTACTAGGAGAAACGAGTCGACAAGCGAGAACAATTTTGATACCGAGATTATGCAAATAGAATATCTCGAAAATCCTGTAAAAGTTGGAGAAGAATTGAATATTAATCCCGGTGTCGAATCGCATGTAGTCGAAAGCGTTCGAAGATTGTATAACAAAGAATACGTTGATAAATGGGATTCGGATGCGAGCGAGCCGGAAACCGAGATGAAAATTTTATTAAAAAATGAACAGCCGATTACCTTCCGGCCTAGGCGTTTAACGTATGCCGATAAAGAAAAGTTGCAAGTAATATTAGACGACTTATTGAAAACAGGTACAATTAGGCAGAGTAATTCACCCTACGCTAGCCCAATCGTTCTCGTGCAGAAGAAAAATGGCGAGTCACGACTGTGTGTCGACTTCCGTGAAATAAATAAGATTACTGTAAAAGACAATTTTCCCACACCGTTGATAGATGATCATATTGATCGGTTAAAAGGAAAAAAATATTTTAGTAGTCTCGACTTAAGGAACGGATTTTATCATATTAAGATGTCTGAGTGTTCGGTAAAATACACCTCGTTTGTGACGCCTATCGGACAATTTGAATTCCTACGAATGCCGTTCGGGTTGACTAATGCTCCACGAGTGTTCCAGAGATTCGTCAACAAAGTCTTTGATAAACTCATCCGAGAGAGTAGTATCTTGTTATATCTAGATGATATTTTGATAGCGACTGAAAGTATAGAGGAACACCTAAATATTTTGAAAGATGTATTTGAAATAGCGCGACGATACCGGTTGCAGTTTAGACTCGATAAATGTTTCTTTGTTCGAACGGAAATTGTATATTGTTCGCGAACGCGCTGCGTGAACAAAGGATCGCGCTGCACAAAGGCTGAGTCACTTTTTTGTAAAACAAAGACTTTAATAATATCACACACGTATTGACAAAATACTATAACAACTTATTACAAAACCTTAATTATCTTTACAGTGAAATCGGAATCAAAAATCAAAGTGCGGAATAGCGGCGGTCGTCAACGAATTTTGCGGTTTATCTGATAAGCGGTTTGCGATATGTTTTCACGACGGAAAAGCGATAAAGCTGGCAAGCGGGGTGAGAGCTCCTCATTTATAATTTCCGGAGCGGAGCCCACCTTCGTGTGACGCGCCAATAATTTTGCGTCTTTTTAAAGTTGCGCGAGGTGACCTGAGCGTATTACGCGTAATTGGCCGCTGTCAAATTTGACAGAACAACGGCTGTTAGAAAGCATGCGCGAGCTGGCAATCACGATGATTATTGGCGAAACGAGGCGCCCGTGAGAAGCCGCGCATGCTCAAGAAAATATAATTATTCGGCGGAACGGTTGCGACACCGTTAATTGTTTATATTTCGAGCGTGTTTTTATACGACAGGATAATTTGTGTCGCGATATGTTTTCCAGAAAAAAACATATAAAAAACGATATGCCTGTTGACTTGCGATCGGAAGCGAATATTCTAGAATATTCCATTTAAAAATATAATATTTTATTACACAAGTAGTTTTCTATTATGCGTTTCAAACATTCCCGCCCGCCTTGTCGCACAGTGACAACATATTGTGGTATTTCGGTCGCGGAATCGCAAGTCGATAGTGATCGATGGTGGGGCAGGCGCGCCGGCGCGGCGAGGTTCACGTGATGATCGCGTGTAAAGTGAATTGATCAGCTGAGCCGCGGAAACACGTGGTGATCACGTGTTGCGAATCGATCAGCTGAAACGGCGAAAGTATGTGGCAGATGTGAACGGCGAGTGACCGATGCAGTGAGCGGTGAAAACGAGACAAGTGTTATAGTGAGGTGGTGAGTGAAATGAGTGAAGCGTGACAGTTGATATGGTGCATGACGTGATGATCGTGTAGTGAGTGATGCTATGCGTCAACGTGCGGTGTAGGAACGTCGTTCACGCCCGGAAGAAACACGAGCTTGACGAGTGGGCGCACGAGCTCGGACGTGGCCGTTCGGATCGTCACTACGCGTGTAACTCCATCGTCCCCGGGATGCAAACACGATATGCGAGCGAGGGGCCATCGGTTCGGGGGGGTGATCTCGGAGCGAACGAGGCAGAGATCGCCGACGTGGGGTGCAGGTGCATCCTTGAGCCACTTGGTGCGTGGGGCGAGTCCGTGCATGTATTCGGATGACCATCGCTGCCAGAAGTGATCCCTCATCCGCTGCAGATGACGCCAACGTGACAAGGTGGACACCGTCTGCTCTGTCAATGACGGTTCTGACAAGGCGAGGAGCGGTGTCCCGATGAGGAAGTGACCGGGGGTCAGCGCCGAAACGTCCTCTGGATCATCTGAGAGTGCCTGCAACGGACGTGAGTTAAGACAGGCTTCAATTTGTGCAAGGAGTGTGCTCAACTCCTCGAACGTGAGGGTGGTCGCGCCGATCACCCGACGGAGGTGGAACTTGGTCGACTTTACGGCGGCCTCCCATAAACCACCAAAATGCGGGGCCGCTGGCGGGTTGAAGTGCCAGCGGATTCCTTGAGCGGTGGCGGCAAGGATGACACTTTGACCTTCGGCTGTCGCTGCGTTGAAGAGACCTCGCAGCGTCCGATCTGCTCCGATGAAAGTCGTGCCACAGTCGCTGTAGATCTCAGCACACAGGCCCCTGCGGGAGACGAAGCGGCGCAGAGCGGCGATGAAGGCCTCCGAGGTGTAGTCTGAGACGACTTCTAAGTGAACGGCCTTTGACCAGAAGCAGACGAAGACTGCGATGTACCCCTTGTGCGCACGGTGTCCACGCCCCTTGCTGGTCCGGAGGAGGATTGGTCCCGCGTAGTCCAAGCCGGTGCTGAGGAACGGTCGAGTTGGCGTTACTCGCTCCCGAGGCAGGTTACCCATCGGAGGCTGTGGTGTGGCGGCGCGCCATCGAGTGCAGGTTATGCATCGGTGTAGCTGCTGTTTGACGGTAGTCCTTCCTCGAGGCACCCAGAAGCGCAGGCGGAGCAGGCCGAGAGTCAGTTGCACACCTCCGTGCAGCGTCCGTCGGTGGCAGGAATCGATCACCAGCCGAGTCAACCATGATGCCGCCGGGATGATCATTGGATGTTTCTCGTCGAGTGGTAGCTGAGCATGTTTGAGACGTCCTCCGACGCGCAGCACGCCTTGATCATCGAGGACCGGACTCAACATCGCTAGGTGGCTTCGTGGTGGGCTAGTGCGTCCAGCAGAAGCCGCAGCTACGTCCGTAGGAAAGTGGAGCGCCTGCACCACTCGCAGCCATCGAAATAAGGCGACGTCCAGCTCGTCCGGATGCAATAGACGGCCAGGTATGGCGTCACGTCTCGCCTTATTGAGCCATCGCCGACACCATGCCGTAACCCGCAGCAGCCTGTGCAGCGTTGGAAATCGGAGGAGGAGGTCAGGTTCTGCCGAGACCGGTGCCTTGATTACCAGACCGGTGGCTCGCTGCTCCGGGAGGTCATCCTCTGGGACGTCGATGTTTGAACCCGGCCATGCAGTCTCGTCTCCTGAGAGCCAGGTAGGTCCTGTCCACCACAACTCATGATTGATTAATTCAGCAGGAGTAACACCGCGCGATGCGCAATCTGCAGGATTCTCTCGTCCAGCGACGTGTCTCCATTGAGCGTCTGGAAGCAGGGTCTGGATCTGAGATACTCGGTTGGCGACGAAGGTTTTCCAACGAGTGCTGTGTCCGCGGATCCAATGAAGTGTGACCCTTGAATCTGACCACAGATGCACCGGCGTCGTTGTCAAACCGAGAGTAGCGCGCACGTGGAGCATGAGCGTGGTAAGTAGAGCTGCTGCACAGAGTTCCAAGCGAGGTAACGACACCTGCTTGACAGGCGCGACCTTCGATTTTGCCATCAATAGGTTGATTGACGTTTTTTCTGTTGCAGCGTTGCGGATGTACACCACGGCGGCGTATCCTCGCTCTGAAGCGTCGGCAAACCCATGGAGCTGCAGTTGCGAATGGTCGTCCCCGGTGTTGAGCCAGCGAGTTACACGAATGTTATCCAATAGAGGAAGCTGATCCAACAACTGCCTCCAGCGGTGTGCGTCCTGATCAGGCAGCGGAGAGTCCCAATCCAGCCGTTGAAGCCACGTCGTCTGGATCAGGATTTTGGCTCTGATGACGACAGGCGCGAGCCAACCCATCGGATCAAAGAGCCGAGCCGTTTCGGCTAGAACTCGTCGCTTTGTGAGATCAGTGACTGGACGTGGACGAATTGAGAAGGAGAACCAATCGCCTTGAGGATGCCATCGGAGGCCCAGGGTAGCGTGACTCTCTTCTTCCCATGAGTGCGGCCCACGTTGCAGCTGATGTTCTGGTGGAATTCCTGTGAGCACCTGAGGATCGTTGGCGGCCCACTTTCTCAAAGGAAATCCGCCCGCCGTGCAAAGACTCCGTAGTTCCTGCTGAAGGTCGATAGCATCTTCCAAGCTATCGGCGCCGGTGACCACGTCGTCGACGTAGCAGTCGTGTCGCAGTGCCTTGACTCCGCGTGGATATCGTGCCTCTTCGTCTGCTGCGAGTTGATGAAGAGTCCTGATGGCGAGGAAGGGTGCACACGCTAGCCCATAGGTCACGGTCCTCAGCTCGTACTCGTGGACGTCGTCAGAGCTGTTGTGGCGCCACAGGATAGTTTGCAGGCGACAGTCCTCCGGATGCACGAGGATTTGTCGGTACATTTTCTCGATGTCCGTGACGAGCACGAACCGATGCCAACGCCAACGAAGTAGGACGTCAGCGAGTGCTGGCAAGAGATTGGCTCCAGTGAGGAGGTGTGCGTTCAGCGACTCTCCGGACCGTGTGCGCTGGGAGCCGTTGAACACGACCCTGAGCTTCGTGGTCGTGCTTGACTCCTTGAGGACCCCGTGATGCGGTAAGTAACACCTGGGGCTGCCAGTTGTTGTAATTGTGCTAACCTTCTCCATATGTTGTAGGTTCCCGTATTCCTCCATGAAGTCTAGATAGAGGTCACCGAAACGACGATCTCGTGCTCCTTTCCGCTCCATGGCATCCAGTAGGCGTTCAGCAGGTCGACGAGTCTCGCTGAGCGATGTCGGCGGCGGTGAAGTAAATGGCAGCCTCACCATGTATCGTCCACTGGACGTGCGTGTGACCGTGCGCACGTAGATGTCCTCGCATCTGGCTTCATCGGCGGTAAGCGGTGTCCCAGCCACTGGCTCGTGTTCCTGCTCCCAGAAGCGTCGAACCATGTCAGCGAGGTCGTGGTCTGCGGTGCACTGGAACGTGCTGCGATGTCCTTCGGTTGCTGCTGCATCGTAGCCCCCGGACAGGATCCATCCTAAGCTCGTCTGTTGGGCGATCGGCATCCGTGATCCGCCCTTGCGAAGACCTTCCTCGAGGATCAATGCGTAAACTTCTGCTCCAAGAAGTAACTCCGCAGGATCGTCGTCCAGGAAGCGCGGGTCGGCCAGTCGAAGTCCTTGGATGTGAGGCCAGCTACGATCTTCGCGTTGAGAGGTGCCTTGCTGCAATGAGATGCGAGGCAGCACAAAAGCAACCACGCGGAGCTCGACATTGGTCACGTCAGATGTGATGTCTAGCGTGACCTTGCCACGCGCTGATCCAGAGCGAGTCCCTCCGATGCCAAAGATGGACAGATCTGTTGAAGCTCGAGGCAGCCGAAGACGCTGAGCCAGTGCCTCAGAGATGATGGACACCTCGGAGCACTGGTCTATCAAGACTCGAACCTCGTGTGGTGATCCGTAGCGATCAGCGATCTTGACGCGAGCGGTTGCGAGGAGGACGGCCTTGTGTGTTTCAGTTTGCCGTGCCGTGGCCAGTGTGGTGGCAAGTGAAGTGGCCTCAGCAGATGGTGTTGATGTGGCTGCCCCGTGCAGCATGGTGTGGTGTCGCGCGTTGCACGTGAGGCAGTTCCTTTTTGACTGACACCGTGCTAGGAAATGATTGCCTAGGCAGTTGAAGCACAGTCGGTTGGCCTCCACGAACCGCTCAACCGCGGTCTTGGCCTTGAAGCCCTTGCACGTCATCAGTGTATGGTTTTCACGGCACAGTACACACTGAGGTGAATCTGTGCCTTGGTGCTTCGTGACGTGCGCTTTGACGAATCGTGATGTCTCTCCAGATCCCTTTGTGACACTCCTCGGTCGTGCGGCGTTGAGTGTCAAGATCCGTCGACTAATGAAGTCGAGAAGTGCCTCGTTCCGTGGTGGTTCGGTGGGGTCTGAAGTGGTTGACTCCCATTCGAGACGAGTGCGTGCGTCGAACAATTCGACGACCATGTGGTTGAACAGATCCATCCCGTGCGAGTTGATAGGACGTCCGATGCTCTCCTGTGCGTTGACTGCGGCGGTGACAGCGTTGTGAATGCGGCTCAGCTCCTCGGCGGTATCTCCCTTCATCTTTGGCACGGCGGTAAACGTGGCAAAGTTGGAGCGGATCAACTCTCTTTTGTTATTGTAGTGCTTGTCCAAGATTGCCCAAGCGCGATCGTAGTTGTCACTCGTGACAGGTAGTGACTTTATCAACTTTTCAGCCGGACCTGTCAGACACGAGCGGAGGTGATGAAGGCGCTCAATGTTCGAGATTGAATTGCTGCTCACGACTGACAGGAAGAGATCGCGAAAGGATGGCCAGTCAGCGTAGGCGCCAGAGAACGGCGGCAACTTGATGCGCGGCAGCGAAGACTTTGATGCGACGTCGACGGATGGAGACACGTTCGGCTTCCGAAAATGTTCGGTATAACTATCTAAAGTACTGCGTTGTGCAACGTACAGATTTTCCGTATCGCCATGTAACTCCGACTTGTAGTAATCGCTCTCGCAAAATTTTTCTTTCAGAGCCGCTCGAATGAGATCATGCTGTGTCTCGAATTTCGTCCACAGCTGATCTAAGATTCTGGTGCGTGTGGATACGGCACTGGCGGTGATGTTGGTGGTGCCCAGCTTCTTCAAATATTCCACGGAACGTGAAATGCGGACCTGGATCTCACGTTGACAGTCGATCAACGTGTTCACATCCATGGTGAACTAAGAGCGCCCACGAACTACACGAAGTCACGTTCACAAACTTGCGGGTGCCGGCGAGAAGTATCCGGCTCGAAGGACCAGAAATATGTTCGCGAACGCGCTGCGTGAACAAAGGATCGCGCTGCACAAAGGCTGAGTCACTTTTTTGTAAAACAAAGACTTTAATAATATCACACACGTATTGACAAAATACTATAACAACTTATTACAAAACCTTAATTATCTTTACAGTGAAATCGGAATCAAAAATCAAAGTGCGGAATAGCGGCGGTCGTCAACGAATTTTGCGGTTTATCTGATAAGCGGTTTGCGATATGTTTTCACGACGGAAAAGCGATAAAGCTGGCAAGCGGGGTGAGAGCTCCTCATTTATAATTTCCGGAGCGGAGCCCACCTTCGTGTGACGCGCCAATAATTTTGCGTCTTTTTAAAGTTGCGCGAGGTGACCTGAGCGTATTACGCGTAATTGGCCGCTGTCAAATTTGACAGAACAACGGCTGTTAGAAAGCATGCGCGAGCTGGCAATCACGATGATTATTGGCGAAACGAGGCGCCCGTGAGAAGCCGCGCATGCTCAAGAAAATATAATTATTCGGCGGAACGGTTGCGACACCGTTAATTGTTTATATTTCGAGCGTGTTTTTATACGACAGGATAATTTGTGTCGCGATATGTTTTCCAGAAAAAAACATATAAAAAACGATATGCCTGTTGACTTGCGATCGGAAGCGAATATTCTAGAATATTCCATTTAAAAATATAATATTTTATTACACAAGTAGTTTTCTATTATGCGTTTCAAACATATATCTTGGGTATTTAATTAATGAAAATGGTATTCGCCCGAGTGAGCAACATGTTGAAGCCGTAACTAATTACCCAATCCCGCGAAACATAAAAGAGACGCATCGATTTGTTTGTTTAGCTAGTTACTTCCGTCGTTCATCCCGAAATTTTCAGTAGTCGCTAAACCGTTATATGACTTAGTCAAGAAAGATGCCGTGTTTAAATTTGGTTCAGAGGAGATCAAGGCCTTCGAAGAATTGAAACAGTTGTTATCTTCTCAACCGATACTATCGATTTATTCCCCGACACTTGAAACAGAATTGCACTGCGATGCGAGTACAAGTGTTTTCGGCGCGGACTTTTACAGCGACAAAAGGATGGTATTTTCCGGCCTGTATTTTATTTTAGTAGTAAACGGACAACAGTTGTCGAATCAAGTATCACAGTTTTGAGCTGGAGTGTCTCGCTGTGATTTATGCGATTAAACGGTTTTCATATCTATCTCGCCGGTATCCCTTTTAAGATAATAACAGACTGCGACAGTTTTCGCCTTACTTTAAGTAAACAGACAGTTAATCCCGCGAATATAT